ATAAGCCAAGCAAAATAAAATAAATTAAATATTTTGTTAAATCATGCTAAATTTTGTTATACATCAAATATATTTTGTTAAAGCATGATGTAAAATTGTTTGACGACACAAATCCAACGAAAGGAAGTTGACAGTATAAAAAAAAAACTAGCTCATGAACAGAGAGTATCTTTTGAAGCATCGTAGTTAAATGGCAGTTATGCAAACAACAACAGCAAGGCAAATCCCATCTCTTTATGTGTTCACGACATTCATCCACATTGACATGACTCCTCGTCCACCTCCAGCGATCTCTTGCAATACTTGGCAACTCTTGTCACTGCGCTGCGTGGTCCTCCCCGGCCGACGGCATCGCGGCCACCGGCGCCGGCTTGGTGCTTCCCTCCTCGGTCGACGCTGGGGCCTTCGACTTGGCCGCTCTGTTTTTCTTTCGGTGTGACTGCTTGGGAATAGCCGGCATGTCCTGCGCCGGCGAGTCGGACGGGCCGGCTGCGTCCTTCTTGCGTGGCTTCCTGCCACGCCTCGATCCGTCGGCGGAGTCGCGACTGGGGGAGTCGCTGGGCAGGCTTCCATCCGACTGATGCCGTCTTGAATGCCTTGGCTTGGTGGATGCAGGAGCCACGTCGGGGGAGTCGGGCGAGGGTTCGGCCGATGCAGCGCTGAGCCTGGAAGGCTCCGGGGTTTGCCGAGCCGGGGAGTCTTCGATGCCTCCTCCTCGAGAGAATTCTGACATCACCAAGTGAGACATATGACTTGCGGCAAGCACGCTATTCGAACATGCATGCAGAGCAGAGAAAAGACGAGATTTCACGACCGGTCTTTGATGCAGTAATGGTGCTTTTTCTAGGCGGGGCTTGAATTGGATGGCACGAATTATTCGGATGCTAAGAAACTAGTGAGACAGAAGAAGAAATCTGACCTTGAGAACCCCATGAGTTTGATGGGGGGCTTTCCCTGCCATCTGCACCGAATGAGGAGCTGAGCGGTGCTGAATGGTAATCCTTCATCTGCTATCAATTCAAATGGAAACATCAACTGTAAGAAACAAATAAACAAACACGCTCAGTGCATCAAAAATTCTAGTTGTGGCCGATGAAAGGGTACCCAGCTCGGGGAACCAACGCTCGGTCCGTCCCATCCGATGTGTGCCACATGCTTGACATCAGTTGGAAACCCAATCTGCATCTCAGGCTCCTTGTTATCTGTGGTGAAGAAGATTTCGCTCAGATGAAAGGATGTATGACATCAGAAAAAAAAAAAGGATCACAGGGATGATGAAGAAGCGCGTCGGCATACCGAAGATTTGAGAGATGTACCGCAGGGGCTTTAACATGCCCTTCTTCATCTTTGTGCCCATTGTATACAGAGACTCTATGGGGCACTGTCAGCTCCTGTGCCCTTGAACAATGACCAAGAAACACAACTCATATCATAATGCATGAGTTAGGGACGCGATTGCAGAGAGCCATTCATGATCGGAAGGATTGGGGACAGAGAAATATGAACAGATTAACATATGATCAATTCGAAAGCCAATCGTGGAAAGAAAGAAAGAATGAATGAATGATCTAAATCAAATCAAACACGAAGGAATGGGTCCTAAAGAGAACCAGGACATCAGATTCTCCGAAACAAATGGCAACCTGATGGAAGCAGAAGCTACCATACCTGGGGGAATCAATGAAGAGACAGAGGGCACTTGCAACTCCAGATACTCCAACCTGATGAGAACTTCCTCATTGCCGCCTGAGAGGACCAGGCAAGAACACAAACCCCTTCCAAGGCAGCTTTGAGTTCGAATTCGCTAGGGGCAAGAGGAGGAGGACTCCGAATGAATTGCTCAGGACGAGAAACAAGTAGAGGGAGGAAGGGGAGGAGATGACGGATTGGAATGTGGTGGCATCGCCAAAATGGGAGCCATCTCCGGTTCCTCCTCAAGGTGACGCGTTGTTGGCCGTTGGAGACACCTCCAAATGGGAACGCGACCGATCGCGGTGGCCGTGAAATTTTAGTCAATGATAGGAAGAGGCCTTTGAATACCAATCTATCATTAGCGAGGGGCGCGCGCACGCTCTCTCTCTCTCCCTCTCTCCTCTCTCTCTCTCTTATTATTATTATTATTATTATCATCTACCCCACAGTCTCTCTCTCTCCCCCCCCCCATTCTTTTCTTAAAATAAAAAGAGCAACCACCTTTCAGATTACTGATTTTAATAACTATGACTCTAAATTTATGTTTAGCATATGCATTAATCAATTACTAAAAACTTAGAGATACATTTAATGGAATAATATTTCATTGTAGCCGATATTTTGTTAGCTATTGTAAGTTGACTCTTATTTGGAACTTTAATGTATATTAATAATATCCTATAAAATCTCGTTTTGATGCTAACATATTAAAGATATTTTATAGTTTTGTATATTTCTTCGACTCAAATAAACTAATGTTAACCATAATTAAAATGATTATTCTGGATTTTGTGGATGGATGCTAATGGTAGTGGCATATCTAGCGAATTTTAATATATAACGGAGTAGATACAGTTACGATCTATATTAAGATTTATGATATATATATATATATATCACTATAGTTAATTCTTTGTCAACTAATTGGAAGTTGTCTGTTAGGTTTGCATTCGGTCTTACATACCGACATAAATTAACTACGTAATCTGTTCTTTCAATAAAAAAAAAAAAAAATTAAACAAGTCAATCACCTTGATAGCTCCATATACTTGGTACAAATGATCGATTTGCATAATACACAATCCAAGAACATGAGATCTAATACTCGCCTGGTACATTCTGGTCTCCAGATTTCAAATTTGATATAGGCGGCACACCCGAACAATGCTAATAATAACATGTAGCACATAACAAATAGCTACATGCAGTAATGCCGATATGATATTGAAAGGATGAAACTGTTTCCATTGTAGTGATGGTAGAGTATCGCGATAAGAAAGCAAGCTAGCTTAGTCCTCACATCATCATGAAGCCTTCATATCATCGAGACCAACGCTAACCTGTAGAGAGACAAAAAGCAATAAGGCAATAAGCTTCTCACTTGTGGAAAATTTACACAGGCCATGAAAACTGAGTACAGTATTCTTACTAGGAATTTGTGGTTCTCTGCTAGAAAAGGCGCAAATGTTATGCAGAATTTCTCCATGTCAGCATTGATCTCACCCGATCCTCCAATAACCTCCATGAATTTCTTTCTATCGGGAGCAAGTTTCATAGCAATCTGCAACCAGTTTCACAGAGTTGGATAGTGAAAATTTATATGTTGTCTAGACTTGAATGGACTAAATTTTTGCAATTTAAAAGAAGAGGGCAAGCTTGCAGATTCTAAGAGAGAGATATTTACACAAATTCTACAAAAGCACAAAATCATATAAGTTCCATGTCAGTTGTTAGAAGGGAATGTCAAGTAGGTCCCAACTGCAAAAATCATGACTATCTGATAATAGCTGCTAATGAAACTAAGAAAGAGCATCAATAAGCATCATCCATTTGGATCATGGTATTTCTCTCTGAATTTTTAAAGATGGATGGATCAATAAATAAAAAAAGGATAGCATATTTATCTGATAGATGAACTGCTTTATCATTGCAAGTGTCAAGTGATAAAACATCATTTATGTCAGATTTCTTGTTCATTTAATAGATGAGTTGCTTCAGACCTAGAGATGTTAAGAAATAAATACCATGTATGAACAGCATATATTACCGAGACAGTAGAACTGGCAAGCCAACCATGCCATTTTTTTAAGGTCTTGCTGTAGGAATCAGTGCAGACTTGCGACATTGTCCAGTCTGCATACTCTAGCAAATTCCGGAATAGTTCCACCAGGAAGTCCATTGCTCTGTAAAACAAACACATAATTGAAGCATATATTTGCCTGGTGATTTTACTGCACTAGATCGGCTAAGCTAAACTCAGATGGCTCTGCTGGAGAGCCACATTGATGACAACTAATTTATCATGATCTGTAACAAGAATGCTTACATACATCTCCAGATGCCTCACGAAAAAGTTGGTTACACATCAGATGATACGCTAAACAGAACGTTCTATATTTGTGAAAGCATGTCTTTTTTATTTAGATATGCAAAAAATGCAAGCAGAAACCATGACATGTAGTTACTGTTGGCTCTGTTTATGCAAAGTGTATAGAATGCCATCAAGAATGACGGATTTATTTGATTGCTAAATTCATCAAGATGCATATACCTGTCTCAAGATTACATACACAATAATCAAAAACAAAACACCCAACACTACAAGAATTAAGGAAAGGATATCCAGATCAAGTAGTCGAGAATGATAAAAATCAACATTTGTGGATTTCTGCTTGAGTCATGTGAGATGAAACTCTCATATGTTTATCAGTAGTTTCTTGGATTATAGATCGAATATCTCATCTAAAGGTTCAAGCAATTGTGGGTGCACTAGTAACAATGTTCATCCTCAAATGAACATAATCTAATATTCAGGGGGAACACAGTAACTTGCTCGTTAGTTCAAGCAATTGAAAACTTTTCCTAGTGCTTATTACTTTCCATTGTTAACAGCTTTAAATAATCTTATCAGTTCAGCAAAATTCTCACTACTATATTCCCACATGCATACACATATGTAGGATGGGATTTCACACAGTAGTTTAATATCATTGAGAACTTCTAAAGCTTACTGAAAATGAACCAAAAAACAGACCTTGTTAACCATAGAAGCCCATTGCTACAGCTCGAAGAGCCTGTTGCTGTCTTAGATTCAACTTCAACTTGTACCATACTGTATAAATATTCATACTTCGATGGATCAGAATTATATTTAGTTTCCAGCCTCTGCAAATTAAAATGGTGAATATATACATAAGTGATACAAAACAAAAAGAATGTTAAATGAAGTTGCATTGTTTAGTTAAATTATAAAGCTTGAGTAGACCAACTGGTCATTGCCAAACAAATAATATAATTGTGGAAAAGAGAAGTGGACCTCAAAAGTGTAACATTACCCATTTATGTAAACGTAGGTTACAATATCCTGAAGAGCTTTATCTATTAGTAGGTAACAATAAAATGCAAGTTTCTTACCGTAATGTTACCCCCTATATCAGACTTGACAATAGCCATGGCGGCTCCAAACTTATCTGGTAACATCAAAGTGGAGATCACAAGCAATATCATGGAGATATATATTGTAAGATGAACACATGCAGTTTCAATGATGAAAAAGATAATGTGAGGAAGAAATATCAATCCATGTTTCTGGTAAGCAAAAAAAATCCATATAAAGGATCCAAAAAGTCAATCAGGCATCAGTTCATAAAATATTTTATCCAGACAAAGTTAGTGGAAGTGATAGAATTGGAGAAAATGATGTATATGACTACAAAATATATTAGATAGAAAAGATCACAATGTTAATGACCAAAAGAACAACTACGAATCCCCACAGGAGAGTATATTGCACAAATAGACTTAACACAACATAAGATAAATGTGATATTTTCCAATAAACTATTAAACATCCTACTGACATTTTTCATGCAATAATCTTGTGATAAAGCCTCTTTGCACGCACCGAGGAATTAGACTTAGCAAACTATAAGTAAGACATTTCTAAGTCAGTCTAAAATGTATGTACCAAGAAGATTTCTTTCAAGAACCAGACAAGGCAAGTGCAGAGGGCTCCACTGAAACTTCCCCCTCAGGAAATAGAGAAAGAAGAGTAAGCCAAGTACCTAAAACCGGCAGGATGTTCTTGCACACGTCAAGGAAAGGCTTCGTAAGAATTTCTCCGTTCTCTGACTTGACATGCTTCATTCCTTCCAATGAGGGAGTGAACACGGTCCCCTCCATCTCGATTCTCTGATCCTTGAACCTAAAATCACATCAAAACCAGATCTTTCTCAAGATTATACTGCGCAATCGGTACAAACAAGAAGGACAAATTCCATTTCCATGGCAGATCTTAGAAGATCCAGCCCCAAAACATTATTACGGCACCATTCTGGATCTCGAATCTTGTTAGGAAGCGATGACTCTACGAGTTGTAATCTAATGCACAAGTTAAAGTTATAATAAACCGATCTCCGACCAACCAAACTAGTTGATCTTTCTAAAAGAATCGCCTTCGTGTTTCATGGCTTCAGATCGTAAAGAAAAAGGAGATGTTTATAAGATCCAATCTTTCTTCCTAAAATCAACAGAGCTGTAAGCAAAACAAGAGCTTTTCAGGTGATCTGATCGGGAACTAACCGTCTTCAACACAAGTTCTCCGACTGACTGGTCTCTCTCCCCTTGTTCAGGACTGTCAGATCAAAGCGAACGGAATGGGGTGTGCAATCGTGGAGGTCGCGAATCAGAACGATCGGAATATATAGAGATATCAGTGGCTCCCGATCTGGGGAATTCGTCGAAGAGCGAATTGGCGGATAGCTGTATTGGGATTCAGGGAGATGAACGGCAAAGAGGGCCGGCCAAGAATCAAAGACTCTTCACGACCGACGCAGAGAGGGAGACTTGTGACGAAAAGTTTGTCGGGAGGGAGGATAATACGTACGAGAGGGAAGGGACCCTTTCTACCCGTTTCTTGATTACCAATTACCAGACGATAATCGAAGACTGAAGTGGTGGGGTCCGCCTGAGCCCCCACCAGTAATCTCCAACGACAACAGTACAAGTAGGTAACTCCGGCTCCCGTTTTACGGTATGAAACTAAGTACGGGCGGTCCAACTCACCGTTATAATTTTAATAAAATAAAAGAATAAATAAATAAAAAGTCATTTTTCGAAAAAAAAAAAATCCTAAGCCGGAGATTTTTTTTTTACGTAGGATTCTAACCTTAAAAAAAATTTCAAATAATTTTTTTTAATCCTATTCTTTTTTAGAATGCCTCCTAAGATTTGACCATACAAGTAAAATTATTTTTTCATATGATTACGAGCGTTTTATAAAAAAATTATAAAGTAGAGATAGAATTGGCCCCATACCTATTTTAAATCTCATCAAGAATGACCAGTTAATTTGCATTGTATTTTGAGTCATTGTTCCTTTGTTGTAGTATCTTTATACATGAGTCAAATACATTGTAATCATATTCAGGAATATAATATAATATAATATAATATAATATAATATAATAAATAGATAGAACTGAAGTTTTCTTATATATTTCTGTTTTGTTTGAAACCCAAAAGAATGATTAGTTAGTTTATATTATTTTTTAATTTTTTATTTCATAATTATAACGTTTTTGCATATGTTTTCAATGTATTTATTGGAGGTAAAAAATGTTATAACTATATTTAATAACATTATAACTATATTTATTAGAAAATCTTAATTTTATCTTCTATTTAATTGTTTTTATTTTCTAAGCCAAGTCACTGGCTTTTTTTTTTTCCCTCTTCTTTCTTTATTTTTCTTTCTCTTTTCATTACGGTAACTATGACGAGGAGAGACAAAGAAAAAGAAACTACAGTTGTCACTTTCTTTGGATCGACAAATATGCCTTTCATCCAAATCACATGACCTAAGAAAATAATTTCATTCAACTAAAATTCACGTTTGCTGAACTTTGCATACGACTTCTTTTTTTCTTAGCAAGAACAATATATTTCTCAAGTGTTCCTTGTGTTCCTAATTGCTCCTTACACTAATATATCATCAATAAATATAATATAATATAAAATAATATATTATTTAAATATATTATAAATAAAAAAATAATATAATAATTTGATTTGAGTCAATTTGATTTGATTTAACAAAAAATAATATAATGAACCTGAAACGTTATTTATTTATTTATATAAAATATTCCTGAATAAATTCTTATTAGAGGGATAAAAAATACCCAATTTCTGCTTTCTTGGAAAAAAAAAATCAATTGCCGACAGTTTTTCCGGGTAAATTGGCTTTGACGATCCTAAGCAAGTCATTTTGTGGTTGCAAGACCAAGGCCGTTTTGGTATATCGCATCATGCCCTAGATCGGACGGTCAGGGAGGCAAGATCAAATCCCGAACGATCAGAAAACCTTATAGGTGCTTTACGGCCCTCTCTCTTGAGCGTGGCGGTACACTCTCTCTCTCTCTCTCTCTCGCCCTCGAAATGGTGAGGATCTATACTTGTTCGCCCGCCTTCCTTGCTCTTCCGTCGCATCTCGATTTCTTGCCCTTCCTAAGTGCTTTTGCTTTGTTCTTGAGCTGATCCGGGGTAGTTTCTGATGGATGCTGCAGCCGTTCAAGCGATATGTGGAGATCGGCAGGGTTGCGCTTGTGACCTACGGGAAGGAATACGGCAGGCTCGTCGTTATCGTCGATGTTATCGATCAGAACAGAGTACGTATCTGGGGCATCGTCCCCTCTATCCCTCAAAGCTTCGAATTTGGTCTTGATTCTCATTTAAAGGTTCTTTTTATATGTAAAAAAATCCAATATTTTCACCTATTTTTCCTTTTTATATGCTGCTTAAAATACATCAGGTAGATTCAGATTAACAAGAAAAGTTATATAGTCGTTCATTCATATGCGTGTAGCTGTTGTCAGATCTCCCTTTGATATGCAATATTTACTCGAACAGCTACTGCTGTTGTTGAAAGGTGATTTGCGCTCTTTATGTGACCGATTTGTGTGGCTATTAGGAGGAAGATAAGAACATAATTGTATTTTCTTCTTAAAAGAATTTCTAAGTAATCAAAGATCTAGCAGATATAGTTTGGAATTTGCACCAGAAGGAGTTAGAGAACTGGTCTTATCTATGCCCTTCAAAAAAATGAGTGCAATGTCAACTGTTGAACAGTTGGCCATGACCAGAGGCTAGGTTTTTTGTTTCTGGAAATGAACAAAGTTAATGAACAATCAATTGGGAAGTTGGCCATAATAAAGTTAAAATTTTTATAGGTACTGAACAATCAATTGGGAAGATGAAAAGTTTATTGTGGTATGTTCTTTCATTTGGTAGCCTAGCCACAAGAATAGCAGGGATCATCAACATGGTGAATTTGTTTTGCCGCTTTGAAGAAATGGTTTGTGAATGACTACTACGTAAACATTGGGAATTCAGGGAAATTTGACCTAAGTGAATGATAATTCAATAAAAAGCCAGGAGATTGACAACACAATGTCTGACTCATTCATGGCATCTCAACCATTTATGCTAAATTACTGATCCATTTTAGGCTCTGGTCGATTCTCCTGACATGGTACGAGGCCAAATCAATTTCAAGAGGCTCTCTCTTACTGATATAAAGATTGACATACCACGGGTCCCCAAGAAGAAGACCCTTCTTGATGCCATGGAAGCTGCTGGTATGATAATCGTTATCTCTATTTGAATAGTGGATTACATGTAAATTTGCTGTTGTAACATTAACATAAGTGCTATAGATGTGAAGAACAAATGGGAGAACAGCTCATGGGGAAGAAAACTAATTGTTCAGAAGAGGAGAGCTTCACTGAATGATTTTGACAGGTTCAAGGTCATGCTGGCAAAGATTAAGGTGGAGACTAATATTCCCCCATTGATTTGATTCTCTTAGAAAAACCTTTCGTTCGTCGTGTTGACAAGACTTCATGTATTTGTTCAGAGAGGAGGCGCCATCAGGCAAGAGCTGGCCAAGCTTAAAAAGGCAGATGTGGCTTGAGCTTCATATATTTCTGGTTCCTCAGCCAGGGTTCTGTTATCCATTTACATGTCCTTAAACAGATTGAATGTACTTTTTGATATTTTGCAACTCAGATTTTGCTTTTATTGATAGGCCCGAAAGTGATAAGAAGTGATGCCTATATTTTTGAAGTCATGATCTGTAGTTCCCAGATCACGTTTGTATGACAGTAAAGGTACATGACTATATTATGATCAGGAGTACATGGGTGTGTATATATATGAAGAGAAAAATTTGCTGACAGGGGCAAACAAAAAAATTAATTTTATTTACCACAGACATACATCCCTATGATCCTCCTCTCTCCCCATATGAATGCTTCCCGAGGCTGTATCAGGCGCATTAAGAAGAACATACTTGGAAAATCCCAGTTGGTGGGGGTTTGTATGCATGGCACGATACAGAGGTTTCATTACCAAGTCACAGAAAATTTACTTACTAAATGTCTTCTATTGGCAATTAAGCATTTGGGGATCAGTTGCCCCGTATATGTATATGAATTGACAACATATTTGTCGAGGGAAAAAAAAGGCAGTAAATGTGAATTTAGTCGAGGAGAAGGAGAAGCAAGAAACACACACACGGCCAAGCTCAAGCTCAAGCTTATGCCTCCTAAACTTGGGACTACTTCGTTGAGATGGGAGGTTGCAACCAAGAATCACTTAATTACCTGAGATACAGATGAGAAAGTCAATTTGGGCAACAGAAGTCGGGAAAAAGGCGGAACTTTTGTAGTAGTCGGGTTTTTGATCAAAGAAATCTTTTCGAGAATGGATGAGCTGAACCGAATAAATTACGAACGATGGAATGAAACCTAAGCACACAAGAGTTGACCATGAAAAGCCGTAGTATGCACACAACATCCTAATGCATCCATCCTCCTGTGAAAAATAATTGAGCTGATCAAAATTTGGATACCTTCTGCGGGGGTCTTGTTCTGTTAGTAGGAAGACCGCTACTTCCCACTTGCCACAGACTTCTACAGGCCATAAGAATTCCCCCTGCATTGTCATGTCAGATAACTCTTCCCCAATATTTAGAAAACCAAAAGCTACAATACTTGGCACGCAATTTTAACACCTTCTAGTCCCATCAGAATACAAAACAAAACCCGTGCAATTTAGCTTAGCTTCGGTGACATGAAATTTTATGACGACAAACAAAAACACATCGCAATTATATCTGCATCAGTGTTATGAGCCCTCCACAACAGGGGTTATACAAGTCTCTTATACCGGATAGTGGTTTTTCAGCCACCAGCCCATCAGACTTAACTTCATCTAGTAGAATCAAATATAAGTTCAAGACGACTTGTTCATTCACAAATGAAGTAAAAGGCCTATCGACCAATAACTTTGGTCATTTTCATGATCATAGATTGCAGTTAAATGGACATATCAGAGGAATTCACTAAAACAAGGGCATTACATTAGCAGAAAAGCACATGGAAGGAGACAACTGAAGTGTTGCTTCCCTGTACTCCCATAAAACCATTAAAATGGAACAAATGAGAGAAAGGAAACAGAAATCATAAATCAACGTTAATTTGCTCCATCTACAAGGGGATGTGATCTCAACAGTCCTGTTGGCACTTGGCCTGGAAAAGGAGAGAGAGAGAGAGAGAGAGAGAGAGAGAGAGAGAGAGAGAGCTCTTCTTGTTGAACAAACAAAACT